CTGGTGCAAGGCACTTTTTAATGATAACTCCAAGCTTATACTTTCTGGATAATTTAATACATGCTATAGGGTTTAATGATCAATATAGGGATAAGTATCATAAAATTGTTTGGCTGTTGGGGTGTATAAACTATCAAAACTACAAAATTATATCCTGTCAAAATTTCGAATTCTAAAATAATGCCGGGTTTATGGTCATTTGAATTTGCTTGCTACTTTTATAATATGCAAAAAAGTAGACGGTAGACACTGATTTTAAGTTCAAATTTATAATATTTCGAAAATATATTATGCATTATTAATTATATAACATACCTTGAATAAATTTGAAGTTTTACATGATTCAAGAACATTTTCATTTGTATACCGAACTGTTTCGCCTTTGGATTTGATTCCGTTCATTAGTCAAAGTACACTTCAAGATGTCGGGCTTCCCTTCAAAATTGTCGAGGCCAGGGATATGACGGTGCTAGTGCTGTGTCCAGCCAGGTAAAAGGTATTTCTGGGAGAATATTAGAGAAAAACCCGAAGGCGTTGCATGTTCATTACTCCAGTCATCGTTTAAACCTTATTGTTGCCAAAGCGTGTTCAATTCTTCCAGTGAAAAATATTTTGAGTCAGGCACAAAATATCGCCAGCTTTTTTATCAGTTTCCCTATCCGCTCACAGTATCTAAGTAAAAAGATGAAAGAGTTTGGTTTAACCCGTAACAAGCTCGCAAAGCCTTCCACGACACGATGGGTAGAACGAATAAGATCCCGCGATGGTTGTTTGGATGCATTCAAAGTTATCTACGAAACACTCAATTTTATGCAGTTTGGAGGATCGCAGGAAGGGCCATTTCCTAGATTAGCTAGTGACGCACAGTCTCATTTTCGCAACGTGGAGAAATTTGAATTTATGGCTGCTCTCATTATCACCCAACATGTTCTGGATCATACTTTGTCATTGACGGTCCAATTAAAGAAGAAAAAAAATCGATATTGCGGAATCAATAAAACAGATTAATCTTTTAAAGGATGAAATGGCAAAACTACGTGCCTCTGTAGATTTATTCCACAATGAATACTACGACAAGCTGTTGGAATTAGCTAATAACCTCGACGTGGCTGAGTGTTTTCCCCGGGTATGTAAAGCTCAAACAAAATGTGATAATAATCGTACCAGTACAGCAGGTGGTTACAACAGATTAACAGTAACCATTAAGAGTCGTGCATAGGCCACGTGATAACGAAACATTCTGAGCTCATCAATGAACAATTGTAAAGGTTTTATTGTAACTCATAGGAAAACCTAAGGATATATTTTGTAAAATCTATTATATTACGAGTGTCTTTCCCTAAGTCTACCGACCACTGAATTCCCCACGCTATCGTCACCCTGTAGTAAATAAGTAACGTTGCAAGTCCTCACCTTCAACCACAAGGATTAAATTACGTAATTCGAAGTGCAAAATTGAGATTACCGGTTTCTGAGTTTACCGGTTTATAATGCTCAGTATTTAATAATCCGTATAAGACCAATTTATCATTATTATTACTTGACTTACGGATTCATTAAGTTTATCCTCGTCTTAACTCAAAAAAGTTTTCAAAGGACTTGCATCCAGAAGGGATTTACCAGGAACAGGCTAAAATTAAACAGATGTTGAGATTAATGCACGATGATGATTCGTGATCTTAAAATTGCTACCTTTTGAAACTCTTCACGAGTTAATAAGCCTTGACTGTTCCCTGTGAAAGAAAAATAGGTAAATATAGTCATATTATAATATATATTTCCTCCATATTGCAAAGGTAATTTCGCTTGCCTTCAGTTTCTTCCTTGTGTAAAACAGTGTCTTTGGAATCTGGTACGACATCAATCTGAAACGATTGTAAAATGAAAAAGCTAGTCTAAATCAAAGATCTCTTTCTTTTCTGCTTCCCCTGCCAGTCATGTTAGTAGCAATATAAGGGATGGATAGTGAATGTTCTTGCACGAAATAAATTTCATGCAAAGCGAGTTTGAAGAGAAATTCTTACCATAAAAGCGCTTGGTCCATATCTCGGACTACGACTCAAATATCGAGTTCGTTGAACAAATGCCGAACCAAGATTCAACTTTTGACCGGAATCTTGTAATAAAATCGACGAGGGTGAAGATCTGCCGTGTTCTGTAAGCAGCATCTTTTGTTCTGCGCTGTCTAAAATGTTGGCAGATAATTTGTTCATTTCGTAAATGCGCGAACAATGGCCGATCTGTTTTAACATTACAAACCTGACTCCTTGAGTTCGGTTTTCTTCATTTCAACATCATCCCGGGTATCTTCAATATTAGTTTCCTCATCTTCTCTACACGATGCGAGGCGATCTTTGACAAGATCTACAATCAATGTACGCTGTCTGTGCTCTTGCTAAGAAGTTCTGTTGTAGTTTCAAGGCGTTTTGTGGCTCCTTCTTTTATGAGTTCGGCCGATAAATCATCTGAAATACAACAATATCAATTTGACATTCCGCCAACGGAATGCCCAACCGAAACATTGAGCAGGTTTGACCCATCTTTGACCTTACCAAAGAGTTGTTTTGGAATTAAACTTTCATAAATCTCAGTCTTTCCCACCGCTGGTCATCACAAGATGTTTGAGTCACAAGATTTCTGTACTGAGCCTACGGTACCAGTGGGCTTTAAATCGCGGGTAAGAAGGTCAGATGCTTTGGTATCGAATTTTGTGTTTGGCACCTGGCTAGAATCATCTGCACGAGTTTTTCTATCAGTTGAAAAGCCTGGAAATGACAAATACGTTCCTTAGAGCTTTCACTAGAAGAATATTAAAACTTGGTCGCTCTTGCAAATATATCTATTGAAAATTCAGCAAGCAATCCCCCTGGCAATAGAATGACATGTGGACTTACTTTCGTAATAAATGGCACGAATTGTTTTCTTAACAATAGCGGACAGTTGACAAACCAGGATGAAATGACATTATCAGCAAAAGCTACAGTGTATTGAGAGTATCTAAGGTGAAACATATCAGTTCGTTTATATTTTAATCATTTTGACAAAACCAATAATAAAAAGTTTCAGATGTTATCGCATTGAGCCAACTTCGATGATTCTGTGTAAGGCAAACATATTCCAAAGACTTGTTTCAACTGGATCGCTGTGAAGTTTTTGTACAAAGCACAAAGCTGTTACAATGCGATTTAAACGATTTAAAAGAATGCTACCAACTTTTCGCCGAATACGATTGTGTGTTTACACAACCTAGCTCTCTTTAGGGGGTACATTGATATTTTGTAACAGATTTCATAATTTACGTAACTTCAAGAAACATACCAGAGGGAAATTCTAGCAGTGGTATGGCAACTTGAGACGTTGGCGAAAGTTTAGTAAACTTTTCCAGATATTGTGGGAGCAGTCTAAGGACAGAAAATTTAGTAATTATTACTTAAAAAATCATATATTTGTGAAGGAGTATCTCGCATCACAAGAGACGTTACGTTTAGGCTGGAGTTTATTGAAAAACGTTTCTGTAAATTCACTGAGCACATTATCAAGGCACGATTTCAAATATCTCCAAAGAAATAAACTTCTAAAACGCTGCAACTACTTAAACCAACTTCATTCTTACAAAGTGCTAATGGAAATAAAAAACGTCTCAAATTCCAGACTATTTTAAGTAGCCATACCTTGCCATAACTGAAGGCATTTCTAACATACATACGGTGAGACAAGATACGCTTAACGTCGCGAAATGAGCAACCAAGTACGCATCAGACAACACTAGACGAAATATACAACAACGTTTAAGCAAGAACAGACAACCGCTGAAAATAAAGTCACGCAGATTCTTACCTGTTCATCTTGACCAATAAAAATGTGGTACGTACACAGCTCCGTTAATACCTGCACGTGTTACAATAAAATATCCAATTATATCATTAGTATGGTATGATATAATTATGGTATGATATGCATGGTTATGGTATGGTATGATTTCGTTATGGTATGGTATGGTGTGATATTATTATGGTAAGATATGGTTATCGTATGGTATGATTTAGTTATGGTTAGTTATGGTAGGATATGATTATATGATATGATTATATGATATGATTATATGATATTATTATATGATATGATTATATGATATGGTATGGTTATGGTATGGTATGGTTTTGGTATAATTATGGTAAGATATTATGATATATGCAAAAAACTGATTGATAAGAACCGTACTGGAAAAATTCTAGCGTACAAATGAGGTCGGCGCATATCGTTAGGAACACGAAATAATCCAGGAAGAAAATCGTAATTTGAAACCTGAATGCAAAGTAAAATTTTTAGTTCATGATTTTGGTGTGAAAAGTACACAACTTCACTTCCCTTCCCATTTTAGAGAAGACTGTAGATATTGAACGTAAATATTGCTTTCCAGAAAGTATCAAGTTTTTATCTTGCAGTGCCTCTGGAAAGTTCCTCAGAACAACATCCAACACCTCCCATTCCAATTCCTAGAAAATGAAGAAAGTTGAACTTCAATCGAAACTTAATGCCAGATGATATATTATGATAGAAAAGTTTACCTGTTGTAAGCACACAAGAATAACATTCATCGCCTCGCTGTAAGGCAGTGAAACAATCCCGTTTGTCTTATCTTCTGCAGAACTAAAACAAAAATGAGAATGTATTACGCAAACAAGAAAAGGATTTTGGAAGCAGAATACCTGACATACGTGGCACTATCGTCATTAACCAACCTTTTCTTTCAGAACAAACAAAATACGAAGTGAATTAAACTTTTCTACTTTTGTCTTGCACAAGGCCTAGACGTTGTCAGCTCGCAGACTGAGGAAACATTGAAGAATCTTTAAGAAAACACAATGTGAGACATCATAGAAAAATCGCGAGAAATAAAATTGAATTTGCCTTACCGAAAGCCGTATTTCCGATGCACTATACGTCCGATAGCCATTGTCATAATGCGTTTTTATGTGGTACACTAATATATTGAATATTCGTTCGGCTCGTTCTTGAGGTTTACGAAACAATTTCATCTGCAAAAATAGAATGAAATTACTGAAAGAGAAGCAAGTGTGGCATTAAATTACACTTATTTTTGTTCACGAAAATAACTTCATCACAATGAACGAATATGTGTGGACAATCTCTGCATGTCCTTCATTACCTTGAACAAGCGTACTAATCCTAATACAGCCTCCTTGATGTCTTTCTACGCTGTTTCATCCTTAGGCTGCAGAAACAAAGACAAATTACAGTGATTAGATGTAATTTTATGTCTCTAGATGTTCCTACATATACCTTGCAGTCTCTATAATTACCTTACATGTTCTTTACATGACGGCTTAACGTATCGCTTGAGAGGATCAACTGGACAGTGGCAATCTGGAATTGATAAATGAAATATATATCCTTTTACTTCACTGATGCGTTTGCATTCACGACCCCCGTGTAAAACGATCCAATTTGCGGATATATAGTTAGGTTCAGGTCAGGAAGCTTTCACTGATAAGAAAGAGTTTTCTATTGAAGTACAGTATCAGCTCATCACGAATGAAGAGGGAAATTGGAGTGGAGAAATGAAACCGTCTGAAAATGATTGTATTGAGTACCTTCTCGATTATATGCAAAACATCGCAAACTTTCGGTGAATCAGAGGATTCAATAACATCGACCAGAAGCTGGACAGCTCGGATCCGCACAGAAATATCCCGATCTTTGACAATGTGGTCTAAATGTGGCAACACTGAATTCTCAAGTATTTCTTCCTGTAAAAAACAAGGAGTTATAAAACTAGAAAAAGATTCATAATATCGCTAATGTCTAGAAAAATGGACTAAAATTTATTCAAAGTACTAAAATTTTATACCTCATATAGTGGAGATAACGTTCCTAATATGTTCACATCTAAAAAAAAAATTCCCATTAGGATAAGACTGAGGCTACATAGAAATACATCACGAACTTAAACAAAAATCAACATACCAAAATATTACATTTTTACATAACAAAATATAAAGAAAAAAGAAGACCACACACTTGAAGTATTTCTCCACCAAATCTTTAATATTTTCAAACCAGTTTTTGCAGTAAGGATGAAGAGACTGGGAACGATGAGAAACCAGGAGAATAACTGAGGATTACTGCAAACAACGACATTTCATTTAGCTGCAAACAACGACATTTTATTTAGCTAAGTGGATTCCGTTAGATCTTCCTATATTTTATTAATTTTGTCCTCAAAGAAAGTCATAAAATTGTTAGCTAGATTCTCATCAGATTGGCACACAGGATATTGAGAATCAGGGCTATAATGTAGTAACTTTCCAACGGTTTTAAATAATTTCTTTTGGTCACTCCCATTATCTCTAACAATTTCAGAATAATAACGAGTACGACTTTCCTATAATAGCTCACTGACACGGCGACATTGCTGACTGTATTTTAGACGATCACAGGATTGTCTTGACTTACGCCATACCCGCTCGAGTTTCCTTCTGATACGTTTTTCGTTTTTAATTCGTTCAGTGTACCAAGGTGCAGCTGGACGAATAATTATCTCTCTGGAAATAAGTGGTGCATGATGATCCAGAATTTTGGGCAGCTCCGAGTTGTATTGGTTGACTTTCGCACTTATATCAGCCGTGTTCCCAGTTTTAATCGGAGATAGCCTAATTTCATTAAGGAACGAGTCCATATTGATTGCTTTAATTTTACGTGACTCCACGACCTTTCTCTGAAACAATGGTTTTTTAAAATTGAGTTCATATGTAACCGTGTAATGGTCAGATATAGATGGATCATGAACGTCAATAGATTGAACAATATTTTCCTCATGGCGAGACAAGATAAGGTCTAACGTGTGACCAGCAAAGTGTGTTGGTTAGTGTACACGTTGTTCCAGATTAAAAGAATCAACAAGATTGAGAATTTTTTTTGTTGTTAATTCCGACTTATCGTCTACATGGAGGTCGATATAATACGATTATATTTAGAATTTGAGATGACACATTGATTTGCATACCCATCACTTCGAAAGACTTAATATATGAGAACATTTTCGCCGAGTCCAGCTTGACTTTTAAAGGTTGTTGTATAGTATACCAATGCCTCCCCCTCTACCTTGTTGTCTCGAGATATTGTTAAAGGAGTAGCCCTTCGGGGTGAAATTCCCAAAAGATATATGATCAAATTTTTCAGGGTGAAGCCAGGTTTCTGTAATCGCAAATATATCAAATTCATTCTCAACCACATAGTCTTTGACTAAATTCGCTTTGTTCCGAATAGACCGTCAGTTGAGAAGACCAAAAGAACAAAGCTGAGTACAGCTGTATCAGGAGTGTTGGCAATGCCTGATAAAGGAATATTGATGAGATTGATTCTCTTAATATAATTTTTGCCATATATATTTACAGGCTTTGGGACACGGTCCATGATTCTAACAGGGATAAGCTTCCTGAATGATTTGCAGGATGATAGTGATTGTATAGTGTGGCGGTGGTGTTTGCGAAGTAGGTATTATAGCAAATATTCCTATAGTCATATGGAACAACCAACCTTTCTGTAGATTCAACTGCCCAAGCATTGAACTAAGCTCCTCAGGATTATTAGCGGGTCGAAACGTGTTCATCAAACGTAACTGCTTCGATGTTGAGACATCTCATCCGACTGATTATTATCAAAAGATTGAGGACCAGGATTAGGCGAAACATCCACACACATTGTTAGATCCTGCTTGAAGGCTTCGTACACAGGACTAGACTAACAAATCCATGTTTCGTTTCTTTAGCAATCGCAAATGAGACTTTGTATTTAGATTCAAAACCAACTCGTTGTATGTTGACCCGACATCGAAAAGCAATATCTCCACAAATACTCAAGGTTATGCCATCCGCAGCCAATCCATCCAAATCCGTGCAATTAGTACTCTTAAATGCCATATTAATTGGTCGAGATGTACGAAACTCGTTAGATGAAATAAATATCATAAAAAATATATAAAGCTGCCGACCAACCGACATATGGTCGTGAATTAAGCAGTACGAAAACACAATATTCATTTCCATACACCAAAAGATGGTGATTCAATGATAACATCACGTTATCAGCTTTAGAGAATTTCTTTAAAAACTTGTTTAACGAATCGGATAGAAGCAAACAGGAACGAGAAGAAGAAGAAGTTGTGAAATCATTGTAAGTGTGTTTAGTTCTATTAAACCCGACAACTTTACTTGTTCAGGGAAAGACATATTAGAGTTGTTTACTAGTAAAAGCTATGTACACACACCTTGGGTGGTGGTGGACAAAATATTGAATCATTGGTTATTTTATTCTAGATCACTAGCTGCCTGTGAAGGAACATACAAATTTTACTAGAAGCTACAAAACAGCTGGATTGAAGGTTGTCAAAACTGAAATGGTCTCCCAAGTGGCAAATCGATTGCTCGAATCCTACCATAACCGTGTTTCATTATAAATCTGTGAACAGGATAAAGTAAATTAAATGAACATGGCCGTTCAGCACAAGTACTTGTAGTCGATTGGAGAAGACAATTGCTCCCATGCGGTAAATCGATGGTTCGAATCCTACCATAACCGATTTTCATTATAAACTTCGTCAAAAGAAATACAGTAATTAAATAACCATGGCCATTCCCCATAAGACTTGTAGTCTAGTGGCTAATGCAATTGTCTCCCAAGTGTTAAATCGATGGTTCGAATCCTGCCATGACCTTTTTTCATTATGAACTTCGTGAAAAGAATAAAGTAAACTAAATAACCATGGCCGTTCAGCACAAGACCTTGCAGACTAGTGGCTAAGACAACTGTCTCCTAAGTAGTAAATCGATGTTTCGAATCCTGCCAAAACCATTTTTCATTATAAACTTCATGAAAAGAATGAAGTAAACTAAATAACCATGGGCATCCAGCAAAGACCTTTTGGTCTAATGGCGAAGACGATGGTCTCCCATGTTTAAATCGATGGTTCGAATCCTACCATAACCGTTTTTTCATTATGATCTTCGTGAAAACGATAAAGTAGATCAAATTAACATAGCCGTTCCCCGAAGAACTTGTGGTCTAGTGGCCAAGACAATTTTCTCCAAAGTTTTAAATCGATGTTTGGAATCCTGCCAAAACTATTTTTTATTGTGAACTTCGTAAAAGGATAAAGTAAACTAAATAACCATGGCCATCCAGCACAAGATCTTGCAGTCTAGTGGCGAGGACAATGGTCTCAGAAGTGGTAAATCGATGAATCCTACCATAACCGTTTTCATTATGAACTTCGTGAAAAGGATAAAGTAAATTAAATAACCATAACCGTGCAGCACAAGACCTTGTGGCCTAGTGGTGAAGACGATTTTCTCCCAAGTGTTAAATCGATTGTTCGAATCCTACCATAACCGTTTTTCATTATGAACTTCGCAAGAACGGTAAAATAGATCAAATAAACATAGCCGTTCACCCGAAGAACTTGTGGTCTTGTGGCAAAGACAATTTTCTCCCAAGTGTTAAATCAATGTTTCGAATCCCGCCAAAATTATTTTTTATTATGAACTTCGTGAAAGGATAAAGTAGACTAAATAACCAGGGTCATCGAGCACAAGACCTTGCGGTCTAGTGGCGAAGACGATGGTCTCCCAAGTGTTAAATCGATGGTTCGAATCCTACCATAACCGTTTTCATTATGAACTTCGTAAAAGGATAAAGTAAACTAAATAACCATGGCCATCCAGCACAAGATCTTGCGTCTAGTGGCGAGAACAATGGTCTCATAAGTGGTAAATCGATTGTTCGAATCCTACCATAACCGTTTTTCATTATGAACTTCGTAAGAACGGTAAAATAGATCAAATAAACATAGCCGTTCACCCGAAGAACTTGTGGTCTTGTGGCAAAGACAATTTTCTCCCAAGTGTTAAATCGATGTTTCGAATCCCGCCAAAACTATTTTATTATGAACTTCGTGAAAGGATAAAGTAGACGAAATAACCAGGGTCATCCAGCACAAGACCTTGCGGTCTAGTGGCGAAGACGATGGTCTCCCAAGTGTTAAATCGATGGTTCGAATCCTACCATAATGAACTTCGTAAAAGGATAAAGTAAACTAAATAACCATGGCCATCCAGCACAAGATCTTGCGTCTAGTGGCGAGGACAATGGTCTCATAAGTGGTAAATCGATGGTTCGAATCCTACCATAACCGTTTTTCATTATGAACTTCGTGAGAACGGTAAAATAGATCAAATAAACATAGCCGTTCACCCGAAGAACTTGTGGTCTTGTGGCAAAGACAATTTCTCCCAAGTGTTAAATCGATGTTTCGAATCCCGCCAAAACTATTTTTTATTATGAAC